ATGGGGAGCCGTAAGTCTTTTATGGCATTTATACATATATATATATATATATATATGTATATGTATATTGTGCGACAGAGTCGTAAGGAATTTTCGCTTCCTTTTTCGAGAATCGCACGAGCGAGACGTCCGTTTTCTCGCGAAATCGGAAAGAGGGATTACTTAAACTGTCCTCAGGTCGCAGCGAGCGGCGAACTTACATACACGGAAAAAGTACCCGAGAGTAGTACCGTAATTCTGCAACACTAAAAAGATATACCACATATATAGGATGTATAAAAGAATATAAGAAACCGGATTGCCGCTTTTGACACGCGCAATACTTGCTCTCTCTCTCTCTCTCTCTGATTTAGAATTATTATATCCTTTCTCTACCTCCGCGCTCGTATACTTTTTATTATCTCCGTGCGTAGTTCCGCCTGTAACTTCTTACCACGTCTTGAAATATCGACTCGGCTCACGTAAGGAAAGACAAAGAGACCTGTTCTGCGCGTGTGCACATATTTATTTATGGGTTTTTAACTTCGCACACTTCTCGTGCAAAGAACGCGTATCTGCCAATTAATTTTGAAAAATCTCTTCTCGTATCGCACTTTGAAGGTAATGAGAACTTTCATTTCTTCCGGTCGCGACGATCTCCGAAGAGAGAGAGAGATTCTTCGAGTTCTGGTCGTGAAAGCTACTTTTCGTCTTGTCGCGTCTTGTTTCTCTCGTGTAAAAGAATTATCGAGAGAGAGCGCAAAACCAAACAGTCCTCTTCAGACATTATTTGTCGACCTTCGATCCTCTTTAAAAATTATTTGCCCGAAGCGCTGAGCGATACGGCACGAGCAAGCGAAGATATTTTCTCGGTGCTACAACTTTCAGGAAGGAGAAAAAACAAGTATAATATAGTTGGTAACTAGAGAGAGAACTCCGTCGTAAAAAAATTAACCGACAATTTGATGAGCTACTTCTTTATATTATCGCGGTTGAGTTTTTTTTTAGCAAATGTCTGTGAAAAATCGCTTCCTTAATACTTAGTAATTTATATTTTAATTCGGCTAAACTTCGTGTCAATATAATGTTGTGGTAATGACTAAAATACGTTTTAAGTAACAACTTACATAGAAAACAATTTTTCGAGAAGGAGAAAATCAAATTTTTTTTCGCACGGACATCACAAAACTCTCATTGCTTTTTTTTGTTGAAGACATTTTTTTCAAACCCGCGATATTCGAACATTTTCAAGTTTCTGTATTTGCATGTGCGCATCACGTGTGCGCATTCTTCTCTTATCTTTCTGCAAAACTTTTATTCTCTTCTTTCAAGGGGGGCTGAGAATCGATTGTTCGATATCCTTTTTAAACCGCTATCACATTTTTTTTCTTATCAAGAACTTACTCCGACAATAATTCGAACACAGTTGAAATCCGAATGAAGAAAACTTTCTTCTATTTTGTGTTGTTGCTTTTTTGTATGCGAACAATTGCCGAATAAGAGAAGCTTCATACACGTATGCGAATTTCACGTAAAAGAAGTATTTTATTGCATAAATATTTATTCGATTCTTTTTATACGAGTTCTAATCTTTATATGCGCGTGCGCGATTCTTTCTTGATATATATTTTTGTATCGTAAATCCTTTTCTTCGGAAAGAAGAATTTTTATTATTGCATCGTGCGATCGCAATTATCAGTTTACATCGTTGTGTGAAGCATTCGATCTGTTGTGTGTGTTATCGCGTCAATTTGGATTGAAATGAAAACACGAAAGGCGCGTAAAAAATGCCATTTTCTTATGGTAATTTCGCGACAACGAGGAGTAATCCACTACGGGAGAAGAAATCGGATGACGTATGTGCCGGAGTGATTATTGAATTGGCGCGCAGTTTTTTTTATTTCGGTCGATGTTTCTGCAACTCATTGCGTCAGTGCAACTCTGCAGATATTTGCGCAAAAGTTAGCATGCGATTTCTAGCATGCGGTATAAAATTACCTACGGAATCGACTACGTCCCGTGTTTTTTCCAACCTACTTTTCTTCCTCGTGGTAAAGAAAAAAAAAATATCACACTACCGAAGACAACACTACCGTGAAGTAACACAACAACAGATCCCTATCCGACCGGAAGCGGACGTCGAGGCAGAAACAAGGAACCGACGTGTTCGTCGTGCGTGCGTGCGAGTTATATCGTGCGTAACGAATGTTATGTCAATCTTCCGCGCCGTTTTAGATATCGCGTTATCATTTTGGCTGTGGTTTCGAAATAAAGCTCTCGGGAGCGCCGTGTACACATACGCTACACATATTGTTTTAACATCGCGGTTATATCGCACGCGGTGAATAAAATGGTTTGCGCGCGATACAGTTGCGCGATATTAGCAATTTTCCGCGAAAATAGCGTACAACTTTTACACATCTGCTCTATTATTCTTTCTGTAATTTAACATTGTTTCAGTAGCCGAAAGCTATTTTTGCAATTCCGAGGTTCCAATTTCGCCTGACCTTTCGATTTTTATATCCAAGAGAGAGAGAGAGAGAGAGAGAGAGAGAGAGAGAGAGAGAGAGAGAGAGAGAGATGGGCGATTCACACACGTTTTAATCGCGAAAATGCAGAAATCGCGGTCGAAGTTTTTAGCGTGACTTACGTCATACGCTAGCCGAAAAGGAGGGGGGAAGGTTTTTAAACGAGGTGTAGGTGTGTCTTGACCTCAACCTTGAAGGAATGCACGAGAGCGGTTTTGCCTCTTCCCTACCGCGCGCACCCGCGTGACGTGCTCGCTTTATGCACCACGCACTTGGTCGTTGCACTCTCCCTCGTCTTTCTTTTGTCTCTGTCTCCTCGGTCTTGCTTTCAGCTCTATACATTTTCTCTCTCTCTCTCCCTCTCTCTCCCTGTCACGCGTTGTTGCTTTTATCCCGAGATTTCTCGTATATTCCCGGGCTTCTTATCTCTTCTCCTCGATCTCGACAGATGCAGGTTTTGCGCGAAGAGCTTTTTTTTAAAGCGCAATTAAACACGGATCTGAGTCGGCAAGTAAACGTACTTATTCTTTTATAGCATTCCTTTGTTTTTATCTCAAGATACTTCAAGGAACAAAAATTGCGATGTGCAACAAGGAATGTCTTACGTGTTTGTTATCGTGCGATGCGCAGTTGTTGACAATCGAGAGAGGATGTCTCTTTTTTCTCGTATCGAAAGATTTCGAAAATACGAGAGAAAGATCGAAGCGAGACGAGTTCAACGGAGTTTCTCCTCGCATCGATGAGAGAAGAGAAAGGTAAGGTACGCGACCGCTTTGCTCCTCGGACATGAAGTTACGACGAGGAAACGCGGCGGAAAGAACTGGCTGCCCTTGGCCTTGCGTCACGCTCGGGCTTGTACCGGGACCTTCTCTCTCGACAATCATCGCGCTATGTTCCGATTACAGATTTGTTTTACATCTTCTCTGCGAGCGAATTATCACGTGTAGCGAAACACAATGCGCGACGCGTACGCACCCATGACGAGACTTTTCTTCTCCGAGGATATAAAAATTTCCCGGTTTGTAAATCGGTGCGCGATGCAACCGATTGACGTGTACATACATATAAGCGAAAATAAATTACGACGGCCTCACTTTTGGAGTTTCAGTCAACCGATGCGTTTCGATAAATCATAAAAGCGCGATTTATATACATTTATTATAAAAATTCATAGCACGCGCGCTTGCGCGCGGGCGCGCATAAAAATCTGGGTTATCTTTCGGGCGCCATCGTGTGCATTTGTATAAAAAAAAAACGCACGGAAAAAAAATTCGTTTAAATTGAAATGAAAACGTTTTTACCTATTTCGTCGAATCCACCGACAGCAAGCGACAGACATATCGGATAACATTTATTTCAAATTCGAATCATTATTCATTTATTCTGGTTATTTTTTTTTTTTTTTTTTAAAGTAATATAAACATGTGTTTTTTAAACTGATGTTTATTGCAAATTTATGTATTATCTGTCATCTGTGAGATCAATTCGCGTGGAATTTGATGACCGGTTTTTGGTCTTTAAATTTCCGACGAATTTAATGCCGAATCTCAGATGAGAGATTCGCTCGATCGTCGAGCCACGCAACAAAATAGCGCGCGAAGTAGTAAAACAATTTCATAGCAATTCAAAGTTATCAAATGGACGATGCCCGTGATTCCCCATCTCTCCGTATCTCCGAATTCAACAGGTTGCAGCTGGTGGCTGGGAGAAGCACCTCCTCCTCGTTCTTCTTTTGCTCGACCCTTGCCTTCATTCCTTCCTTCCTTCCTTCCTTCCTTCCTTCCTTCCTTCCTTCCTTCCTTCCTGCCTGTCTGCTTACCTTCTCTCTTCTTTTTTCCTTTCTCATTTCAATTAAGCGGCTCGCGACCGAAACTCTTTCCGTTTTCTTTCAGTCGCGAGCGACACGCTCCGATCGCGCACGTTAATTGCGTTTACGGCGCAACCATTTTAAATCGCGCGATGCAACAAATTTTCGCGCGCGAACATTTCTATTCGTCTGCGGGAGGGCGTGAAGAAATGTGTGTACGCTGAATAACGTTCTCGAACGTTACACAGTAAGTTCGTTGCTCGTGAATTTATGAGGAGCGAGGGAAATTTCGTGCGATTTCTTTGTGAAGATTAGACACGTAACTACCATAGCTGTCGGAGTGAGTTTCTTGCGAACAGTCGCGAAACCGGATGGAAGGAAGGAAAAAAAAAAACAAAAGAGAGAGAACGTAGTAAAAGGGATCGGGTTGCATTTCCTGCGGACTCGCAACAGACCGTGATAGGCAGGATTTAGATCGTCGCGCACGCACAAGCGTTTTAAAAAATTCTTCAGTCCTCTTTTTCAAGATTTCTCTGTTTTATACGCAGTCGCGTTATTTTAAATTGTTCGCTTCCGAAGTTTTTTGAGTTTTAACGAATTGAGATCAATATTTGATCCATTTTTACACAGTTTCCTGCGATACAATTCAATACTAACGTTTCTCTGTGTGATTTTTTCTGCTGCAGGTAAGAATTCCAGACCTTTCGAATTTTCGTCCGTTTCCTACAGCGCCGTTTCCGGTGGTAAGTTTGACTCACATCATGTACACTCTCTTTCTCATGTTATTCTCGTTCGAGTATTGACGTTGCGAATTCTCGTCGACGACGTTTATACACGGATATGTGTATTTGCATGCGAAAATAACGTTTATAGACGCATATATTAATATTGCAAATATGTATTTGTCACACAATCGACTTGTGAGATCAACAATCTCAAACGACGAACGATTTTTTTATTTTTTTTTATTTTTTTTTGACGATCGATTTCACCGACTCGGAAAATCATCGTGACGCGAGTTCCGGCGCGAATCGAAACTCAAGAACGTTATTGAGCTATGCAAATTTTATCGCGTCTTCCATTTCTCTCTCTCTCGCGCACGACGACGAAACAAATGTCGCGCCATTACGTGCTTCCGCTCGACTACGTGACCGTTTTATTGGTGCGTTACATTTGTTTTATCGTTCCTTCACACGTGTATCCACGACGGCTCTTCTGGACGTGCGTTTGCGGACGGGAGGGATATATAACCAACAGTCGTACACAACAATCAACCGGCTGAATAAGTGGCAAATTTTTTTTTTCGCGAAATCGTAAAACTGCGGAACACGCGAACACAAAGACCGCGCGCGATAATCTGTTCTTATATTGTGCTTTACTTTTTCACAAACCATTCGTGTCTAATAATTAATTTCGCAATGTGTTTATCAGCTGAATCAAAACATATTTATTGACGCACGCTTATTTTTAACGTAACAACAGTAAATAAATAATTAAAAAAAAAAAAAAACAATTTGCGGCAGGAACAATATAAGGAATCGAAATTTATTTAATTAGATTACTTAATTAGATAGTTAGATATTTAAAAACAACTTTATCCAATTAAATATTTATTTTACAACACATTAATATTGCGCGCAGCATATTGTCAGACATCGGTCGTATTTCTTTCGCGAAAATTGGAAATGTCTTTTAACCGGGTTTTGGCGATAAAGTTCATCTAGATCGTCGGCGACGTTGAATGCAATACACTCTCGCTCGTTCACGGTCGAGACATTTCGAATTTCTTCGTGGAAAGAAGCCAAGGTGTGCGCGCAGCAGGGTTAAGGAGAACCGGTGAGAGAGAAGGCGAGCTGACGGATAATTGCTCACGGGCCGCGGATCGTCGGATCGAGGGTCGTCGTTGCAATTTAAACGGATTTATGGTACTCCCGGTACCTTTAACTCAGTCGCTCCCTCGGGCATCGAATTTTCGTGGATACTTGCCCGCGCGCGCGCGCGTGTGTGTACGACTGTGTGCATATGCTTTTGTGTGTGTGGGCCTCTGCGCTATAGTTCGCTCACACGAACTTTTCTGTCATGGTCGATCGTGTAGCTTCACGCTTTGCTAGAGGCCTCGCCTCGCGAGAGGAGAGAAAGAGAGACGGTCGTTTATCACGATTCCGGACGTTCCACCATTTTCGATATTTATACCGTGTGCCGGCTGCTGCTGCTGCTGCTGCGCGAATTCAAACTGCATTCGAGCGGTCCGCGCGAGAAGTGCTTTATCGACCCGTAGTCTTCCCGGAAGAGCGATATCGCGCTCCGTAAGGAAACGGAGGGGAGGCTAACGATTGCCGAAACTCCCTTAGTTTTTCTGTATGGGATTTTTAAATAGTTAATCGTTAAACGCGCGCCGTAAGTATCGGTCTAACACGTTTCATTTTTCCCACGAGAGAAATTAGCTTCAATTGTTGGACAATTAATGAATACTTACTGTCTTCAAGAAATCTTTCTACAGAATGTTTCTCGGAATGAAAGAAGGGACGCGATAGTTTAAAGTTTAATTAATTATTTATAGTCACAGCTTAGTTATTTGTTTATTTTTTGTTTTTGCAACTTTGTTTCTGCTGATTTGTTTAGCAATTTCTTTCTCATTTTCTCTTCGCGAAAACTGGAAATGACGCCTACGTTAACGCAGCGTGCGCTAAGTTCTCTAATCACTTTAACGATGTTAAATTTGAAATCGGAGAACTCTGTTGTGTGTGAGAGAGAGAGAGAGAGAAAGAGCTCCGTGCTCCGTTTAGCGCGGAATAAAGTGTTCGCTCTGCCGGAGCAACTCGGGAAGACGGGTCATTGTTCTGCATTCGATAATCGTCTTCAAAGTGCCGCGCAAGCTCCGTGTTTACCCGTGCATCGGGTGCCCGTAGCGATCTTTTCTTTAAACTAAAGCGAAGTCCGTTTGAGCGGCACTAATCTGAGCGGCGATAGAGAGAAAGCGAAGTTTCCGATTCTCATTCAACTCTCTCGGAGTCTCTCGGCAATTCCTCGTTTCCTTGCTCGAGCCAAAATCCCGAGCGTTGATTTTATCGGTTATTTCAATCCGTCAATATTGACAGTCGGGTAAAGATTATATGTTCTATAAACGCAGTAAAAGAACAAAAAACAAAAAAAAATGCGGAAGAAAGATAAAGTTACGCTTATCGACGAGACGTTTCTTCGTATCGCGTCCAACTCCGCCGTATCTCATTTTATCAAAACGTTGTGTGAATTCGAGTAGGTCGTTTTGCAATGTAAGGTCATGTAAACAACAATATAATAATTTAATTTAATATTTAATAAAGTAATCAAAATGAATACAAGCATCATTTGTCGTCTCTTTGTGTCAAATACACGGTCGTGTATAATACGACGATTTTATAACGGAGATAAATCTCTCATTCTCACCCTCGGCGCGAGACTCGCAAAGTTCCTACCCTTCCTCTCACGAGATTCCGAACATCGTCGGGTGAGCGCGTCGGCGGGACAGCGCGCGGTTCCGGGGCGCAAACAGTTTCCACTTTTCCGTGAGAAATTCGCGGCATTATCATGAGCAAATTTGACTTTCCGCTCTTCCACCCCCAAAGATTCGTCGTGTTCTCTCTCTCTCTCCTCTCGACAAGAGGAGAGAGGAGAGAGCGCGATCCTCGTCCGCATAACCGACCGACGTGGCGGGTGGTTCCCCGTAGGGGCTGAACCCCGGCCACGTGCATTCTGCTCTTCAGCATCCGCTTGGTAACCGCCGCGGGATCGACTATGCATCAGGCGAAATTCCGTGGCCTGCCAACCCGCGTCTGAATCCCGAAGATTCCTCGCGACCGAACAAGGACGACGAGAGGATGGCGTATGAATATTTGAATACACACTTCGCTCCGTTGCGTTGTCCGCGATTAAAGTTTTGTCTTTTCGAGTTAAAGAGACAAAAAGCGAAGCAAATGAAGCGCGACCTCTTATGAAACGGCTATATAAGTACTTCTTATATACGAAGCGAAGTATTTTGACTCCGACCCGGGATCGAAACTGTCGGAGAAAAATTCTGACTCCCTTGTCGATTTTTATCATTCATCATGCATAAGGATGGTAAACCGTGTTTCCATTCGTATCCAAAGCCGTTCGGCGCATATTCAACGCGCCATACTTTTCGTTTCGTCGTCCACCGGAAGACAAGCGCAATCTCTCGTAGTCGATTCAACCAAGAAGATGATCGAGCGCCTCTTTTCTGTGCTTTTATTCGCGCGTTTCGAGAGAGAGTTGCTTCTTTTTCTCTCTTCTTTTTTCTCTCTCTTTCTCTTTCTCTTTCTCGGTTCCTTGCATGTCGCGAGAGTCGAGGAAATTCACGCTCGAAGGTGCACCCTCGAACAGTTTCCCCGAGAACGTTTCCTCCCCTTTCTCCCGCGCGCGCTCCTCTCTTTCGCGGGCCCGAAGTAGGATCGGGAAGGGGGATTGAAAATTTACGCGCCACGGATTTCGCTCCTCGTTTGCCTCCCCCTCGGTTCTGCTGCGAAGTCGAAGATCGCTCGAGCGTACGGCGCGGATCGGAGATATCTCGATTAGATACCTCGACCCGTTACTCCGGTCGAGCGGAAGGTGACTCTTCTTTTCCGGGAATCTATCCGTCGCCTCGGTAACGCGTCGCCCTTCTCCGCTCCGCGGAACTTTTCACGCGAGAGGCGACGCTCCGACGAGCAGATCTCATTCGCGGAAGGTATCGTGAATTCTCGCTTGTGGCTTAGCTTTTTTTTTTTTTTTAAAAAAATAAAAGTATAAATTACACTTTGGATGCTTCTAATGCGATTGGTCGATAAAGTAAGTCTTTACAGAAAAGATTAAAAAAAAAAAAAAACGATTCTCAAGTCTAAATGAACATCGATTTGTTTTCTCGAATACGGGCGCAAATTAATTTCCAACAATCGAACCGTCGTCATCTGTAATTACCAGAAGATGAGTAAACTTGTCCGGCGCGTTTTTAAATAAGTTCGATAGATCGACGGATAAGCTGCTCACGCAACTGCACTGGTTATCGCGTGAACCGAGACTTTTGATTACATCTACTTTCGCGTTCGCCCTCCCTTTCGATTCGCTTTTCCCCTTCGAGAGCCACCCGCGGGAACACGACCGGCGCGTAATTTCGAAAATGGAAAGGCGAACGCGTTAAAAATTAATCGAATAACGCGCCTATTGCCGGACGGACGAAGGGGTCGTTGAAGATTGAAAGTGGAGCAGCGCGGATGATACTCTGTATTCCCCGATACTTTCTCTCTTTCTCCATAGTTTAAGAGTTGGATTGGTCTGTGCAAACGCGATTAGGGTTTCGCTGTCCGACCTATCCAGTTGGAAGTGATTCCAGACGAAGTAGAGGCAGTATGGAACGCCACGTTTTCTCTTGGGGATGGACCCTCCACTGGTAGTCGTCCACCCTTCGTTCTACCACACTCCCTCCTTCCTGACTCGGCGGGGGTTTCAAAAATCATCGTGAGACGTGCATGGAAATCCGAAGTAGTCTAGCACTGATGCTTCTGAACGTATAGAGTCCTGGTAAAGAGAGAGGAGAATAGAGAAATTCTTAATCGTTTTTGAGAGAATTGTTCTTTTTTTTTTCACAGATTGTTTTGCCATGATCAAAGATTACAATCCTCAATTTTACTATAATCGAGATTTTTCCACAATCAGATGGTTACAATTATGTAATATACAGGGTGTCTGAGAAATTTTGGACGCAAAATGT